CGCTGTTCTTGCTGCGGCTGGTTTAAATAGCAGGACCAGCTGGCCACGTCGCTATATCCAAAGCCTCTTTATTTGTGCACACTGGGTCTAGGGTTGCAAACACCTTACACACAGACGCACACTGCCACACAGAGAAAGGTTATATAGGGCTCATTAATGAGATTTGAAGGTTGAGTCCATCAGGTGTTTGTTTTTTTTTTTTTGTCCATGGAATCACAGACACTATCTTTGTTACAGTTTGTATTGGCCACACAGTGGCGACATATATAGCTTTTTAAAAAAGAGGATGTACAGTGTACTGCTAACTGGTACAGTCATATGCCCACATATTTCAGATTACTGTGCACATACTGTAGCAGATACTGACACCACACATCTGAAACAAATATATCTTTACTGTATTCTCCTGAGCAGGAGAGAAATATATTTTCCTTACTGATAAAACTTTATCCATTTAGTGGACAACGGTTTAGATGAGACACTGTGTCATATCTCCATGCACAGTAAACCAAATATTTACTTTTACCCCATCGTTTACTTTCATTGGCCAAAGGCTCATGAACCAACATTTCTACTGAAATGAAAAAAGTGAAAGAAAACAGAACTATAAATATCACAATGACTCTTGCATCTTGCTCATTTGTAGCCACCTAACATGGGGTTATTTTCAATTCTGAATGCCAATACAGTACATAAGTAAAGCCAGACATAATATTTAAATATGCATTTTTTTGCTTTCACTAAATTTTTTATCTGTATTTTAGATGCACATAAGCAAGACACCAGCTAAAACTGAGGAAAAAGCAACAGCTGCTATTGTTTTAAGCTGATTAACATGTAGGCTAAGTTACAGTAAACACCTCAGACAAATATATAAACACTGTACATATTAGATGTGCCACTACTATATGCAACAATCAGACACATCCATATTCTGCAGCTGCAAAGCAAGACAATGGACGGAAACATCTCATACCAGCTGCAGTGACGAGCTGAAGTCAGACGCCAAAACAATTCCCTAAATCCTACACACAGGGACTTTAAAGAACTTTAAGGCCCAACGCTGTCATTCTATCAGCCTCAGCAGTTTGACCACTGTTTGCAACTGAAGTCCATAAAACTTTAGTTTTGGATAGCATGCTCTGTCTGGCTATAAAAAGCTGTATATATCTTTATAGGCAAGGAAAAATGTATGTTAACTAGGCGAAATGCACGTGAAACACACTGTCATCCGATTGGCTAGACCGTGTCACAAACTTGCATTGTTATTGGAGAAAAGCTCCAAAACAAGTAACAATCCCCCACTGAACACATGAAGGTATAATCAGGAAAATGTATTTAAATTATATCATTTAAATTGCAGCATTTTACTTCTGTGGTTTAATGAGGTGGAGCTAATTTTTAACTTTGCATGGAAGTGAAACTAATTATTCCCATTATGGATTTTTTCTGCTAATTATACTCCTGATTAATTGACTGATTGTTCATTGGCCTTCATCATTACCCAGAACCCAAAGTAAAACTTTCACAGTACTTGTTTTGTCTAACAGTCCAACCATCAAAATGGTTCAAAATAAAATTATTTCAAGGAAAAGCAAGAAATTCTATCACTTGTGAAAAACTATGCTGTTGTGTTTTTGCACAGTGACTTGCATGATTACTGAAATCCTGTTCAGTTGTCGCAGTTACAGAAGCGTACTGCATTCAAAGGAAAAAAAATTCAAGCATCTTATCTCAGAATTATGATTTACTATCTCATAATTATGAGAACGTGATCGCAATGCACTTCCATATATAGTCAACTAATAAATTGACCCTGTTTCAGCTCTACTTTGGGCAGTTTAATTTATAGTAAAGTATTATACTTTATAAACTCTTCATATACTTTGTATTCGAACATGCAAAGCAACTGAAGCTGTCAAACAAATGTAGTGGAGTTAAATGTACAATAGTTCCCTTTAAAATGTAAAGTAGAAAGTAGAAAAAGAAAATACTGAAGTACTAATACCTCAAATCTGTACTTAGGGTTTAGTCAAGTTGAAGGTAATTTGTTATTTAACCATAATTTTAAGAAGTGCACTTCAGTGTTTACAATATTTTGTCTGTGTGTGTAGAAGTCACTTGCTGTTTACAGTGAGGTAATGCAAATGGAGACGTAATATGTCTGAAATGTAAACTATCTCAGACAGCTGCTCTGACACCGTTCCTCTCCTTCTAAGAACATTTACTTCACACTTGTACTTTACCGTTTCATGAAATACAAATACACTCCGCTCATGTTTACTGGAAGAAACTGGCTTATTTGCACGTTCCTCCTTAGTAACTTACAACAACCTAGTTGTCGATATGAATTTTTCTGCTCCTAAGATTTGGTAAAGTAGTAAACTGTGTGCCACTTCATTCCATTTGAGGGGTACCTTTACCAAATGTGCTTTATTTGCTACAGTAAAAGCAGTTCTATGAACTTCCTGAGTGCCACTCACTGCTCCTCCTCTTTGTGATCGGCAGCAGGTTGTGGCCGGGTTGCAGAGTCAACCCCTGCAGCTCATTAACCACAGCTTCACTCTGGGGGCTGGGAATCGATGCATCTGAACGTGGCCTGTCTCCAAACTTGGTCTCCATGGCAACCAGGGAGTCAGAGTGAGGCTTGCAGACAAATCTGAGAAACAATGAACACAAGTGTCAAGGCTCAATGTACCATGAACAGTAACAAACACTGTGCTTGTGTTATCTCATATCAGTTAGTTCTGCCTCTCTCATCTAAATGCTCTGTCGCTGTGTCAGCTCTCCCTACACACACACACATACTTTACAGCTCTAGACTCATCCCATCCATCGTTCTCTCTCTGAGGGAGTCACTCCGAGTTATAGGAGTCTGAAGACAGAACGGAGGTAACAGAGCCCTCATCACAAACGGAGAGCGCTGCTGAAGCGGCGGGGCCAGTGAAAACACCACTGCAAAGCTCTCTATGGCAAGACGTTACATAATCAACCGTTGGCTACACAGAAAAGAAAGGTAACCACCAATGGCCAGACACACACACACAGGCATCCAGTGCAGCCATGCACATGAAAGTAAGGCCAGACGCTGGCATTAACTCTTTAAGGTAACATAGCTAAAAACATAATATTCTAATCAATAAATTGAAATGACAAGAAAAAGTACTGAAGCAGGAGATTCCACTGTTCCAAATGTTGTTGGTATGCTGAAGCATTGCCCTTGACTGGAAGTAAGGGGCCAAACACTGAGAAGCAGCCACATACCATTGTCCCTCTCCCACTAAACTTCACAGCTGGCACAGTGCAGTCAGGCAGGTAATGTTCTCTCGGTATCCGCCAAACCCAGACTCACCCATCCGACCGCCAAACAGAGAAGTGTGGTTTGTTGCTCCACAGAGCACATTTCCACAGTCCGGTGGCGGTGTGATTTACAGCACTCCATCCGACGCTTGGCATTGGACTTGGTGTTGTGAGGCTGGCCTGCAGCTGCTTGGCCACAGAAACCCATTCCATGAAGTTCCTGTCTCACAGTTTTTTACATTAAGTGGGAGTTTGGAACTCTTCAGCTATGGAAGCAGAGCGTTGGTGACTTTTACACACCATGCACCTTAACAGTCGGTGACCCTGCTCTGTGACTTTAGCTGGCCTTCCGCTTCGTGGCTGAGCTGCTGTTGTTCCTAGATGCTTCCACTTTCCAGTAATACCTCATACAGTTGACCGTGGAATATCCAGCACAGATGAAATTTCACTAACCATCTTACTGCAAAGGTTTCATCCTACCACAGTACCATGCTTGAACTCACTGAGCTTTTCAGAACGACACATTTTGTTTCACAAATGCTTGTAAATCAAGACTGCATGGCTTGGTGCTTAATTTTATACACCTGTGGCAACGGGTCTGATTAAAACACCTGAATTCAATAACTAATAATAACTTTTGTCCATAGAGTTTATCTGCAAGTGGAAGAAAAATCACTCCACTTTCAACTGGCCACATACAGGTTGTCACTACTACTGTAGTAGTGGTGAAGTCTAATAAGAATGTACAAGTATTTATTATGTGATGTTACACTGATAACTTGTGTCAGTGTTTATTCGCCAACTCTGTTCATCTGTGGAAAGTAAAAGGATCATGTGTGTTTCATCAGATAAGCCACTGCCTGATGTTTGTCTGTTGGACTCCAGGGACCTGTCCTGTGCACTTTCCCACTGTGAGCCTCTCTCTAGTAGCCAAAGCAAAAACAGTCACAGGCACATGGTACTGCCAAAACAGTGTACTAAATCAGAACAGAATACCATATCAGACAACTACATGGAACTCATGTTGTGTTCACGTCTCCAACGTGTCATTAGTTTAGGGGAAAAACACAAAACCAGCTAGCTGCTGAGCTAGCTGAGAAATGACTATTTATTATTGTAAAAATACAGCTAATGTTTCTCATTTTCTAACTGATGTTTGACTATTTGTGCTAAAAGCCTGTGTCATATAAAGTCAAAGCTGAAACTACAAATTCATCTGACATCTCAGCCTGTGGTGGTCGGAGCAGCACTGCACAGGTTTGACATAGTTAAATGGTTTATCACAAGAACAATTTCTGACCATTTCAGTGTTTTAGAGACTAACTGACAGTCAGGCACAGTTAAAAAACTATTTTTAAAAAATCCAATTTTGCCTTCAGGATGTGTGTTGACATGGCAGCCTGTCCCAGGCCCTGACTCCTCTGGGGACAGCGGAGTCTGCTGGTCCTCCTCCTCTGCTGCTGCTCTCTTTGCCTCACAGTTACACTGCTGCTTAGAAGCAGTGGCCACTATGGCTCACGCCAGGCTGACTGAAAAACTCAGGTATGCTAAAGCTGGCGAGTGTTGTGCTTTTTACTGTGGCTGCAGACACCACGTCTCTTCCTGGAACACGCTGAACACAGAGATTAATGGAGGTTACAACCAGTCTTTCAGTGTTTACAGGCAGCAGTTCAAGCTCACAGACACTTGATCCAGGGAAGAGCCACAAACGCCAGGTCCACTATGGCTCTGCCCTTAGCTCCACTGGATCCTGTTGAGCGTTCTGTTTACACACACTGCCTTCTCCTTGCTAGCTGACGTCCATGGATTTTGTCAACTGTAACGACAAATTTCATCAGCTGTACCTGGTTAGCATTGCTAATGCTAACTCTAAACCCCTGTCATTTGGTTGAAAACTCTGTGTTTTCAGGTTTCCAATAGATTCATTCTAAAATGTAAAAGCTGCAATGCTAAATCTATGTGTGGGTGAGAAAATAAAAGAAAATCCTGAACAAATCAGGATGAAAAAAATGCAAGGTTTCCTGATTAACCTCCTGCTTAATGGACATAATGAGGGAAGCTGTTTTGGAAGCATGATGCTTCCTCCCTCCAGCAGAGGAACAATTAAGCTGCTCTGGAGACAAAGCACTAAAAGGTCTGTGTTGTTCAATGTGTGCTAGTTTTTCTTGTCATTTGTCACATAAAGACATAAAGCAGCATCCTCACCACCGGCGAAGGATCCATTTAGAAAGGACAGGAAGAAAATACAGAAGCAACACAGTGTCGTGCAGGGACGAGCTAGTGAGCCCAAGTATTGTATTTTAAATAAAGTATACGTGTTCTTCATTCTAACCTTTGGTTGGTTTGAAGTAGAGAAAAACATACTCTGATGTTCACATTTTCAGACAGTAGGTTTGACTTTTATAGGAGAAAGGGGTTTGAGGAGGTTTGGCAGCTATAACACCATCTACTGTATCAGCATGAACTACTGCAGCACTTCACTCGCAGAGGATGTCCCGGTCCTGAACAGGTATGTTTGTAACATAACCTGCAACTCCACATAATAATATAGTTATTATTACCTAAACCAAGGTCTGTTCTTAATACAGCACCATGCATACCACTTCAAAATGGGCCTGCTGGGCCCTTTTCTGTGCTTAAACTATGACAGGACAGTGGCTGTCTGGGAGTGTGATTTAGCAGATGATCGACTAAGGAGCTGATACGTTTTTGGACCGAGATGAAATTGCAGTAACAGACGGTTGTAGATGTGTGAACTGAAGTGTGAATGAGTCTGCCTATTACACCACTCACTCCTCTGGGAATTTTCCCTGACTTACCACAAAAAAATTATATTTGGCAATTTGCTAGAGCACTGCTCATAAATACAATTACAATAAATACAAAACAATTTTCTGAATTGCAGATAAGGTCAGGACAGGAACTGGGCCAGCCTGTCTCAGCCCATTAGCCCAGTGAATACTCTTGTCTACAACACGGCGGGGCTAATGATCCTAATTAGAAGCTAAAGCTCCAGTGCTTTTTTTTCCCCTTTCATCAAAAGCAGCTCCTACATAAATGTGGCCACAGCACAAACATGTGCCTGATTTCATAGTTACTAAGCAAACAGACAAAGATTCATCATAAAGACCAGTCATCTACTGGAGAAGAGGCAGTATGCAGGAGGACACGAGGGGGGACACTGGCTTCATTTATCTCCAGAATATCCCAGTGCATTTGTGTTGGAATGTAAACACTGTATTGAGTGCAGGCTAATCAAACACTTGTCCATGTGTCGACTCAAGGAAGAAACACTGGACTGGCTCTCTACAGCTACGTCAGAGGCAAAGAAATAAGTCCACAAGCCAAACATGAACATTCATCAAGAACTAAGGAACCTTAAACTAGTTCATAATCACAGTACATACCAGGTCTTTATCTCCTGTTAAACAAGTTCCCAAGGAACCTCCATCCCACACTACAACCAACAGGAAAGATGGGATTAACACGTGCACAGGTACACACACAGTTTATGTACTGTACATAACATCTAAACTGTGGGTTTAACATTTATCCTCCTGTTTTCAAATGAGAAAAAGTCTCTGTGGAAACAGGTGGAGCATCTGAAATCCAGAAAAAACAACCTGAATAAAAACACTTCAACATAAAAGTTCTGTGTGTATATATGTACTGCATTTTGAAGTTATAGAACTGAGTTGTTGTAGTAACCAACACTGTGCTGGGTCTATACTGTGATTAAAATCTGGTGTTAAAGGAGGCAAACAGATAATGATGGAAAAACTGTGAGAGACTGCTTAATCAGAGTTTGGAACAAACTATCATATTTATAAAAATACAGACCCATTGTTCTTTAATTTTGTTTACTAAAACTAGACAAAAACTATGGTGATGAACATATTTATCAAGAACAAAATTAAATACAAGTTTAAAACATATATTGCTCTAACAGAACCACAGCCATTTCCACAAAAGCCAAATACATTAAAAATCTCATCCATGCCTGGTGCAAGTGTTCAGCAGTAACATTATGTCTGTGCACAGGCAGCTGTCAGGGTGAGTCTACTTGTGGTCCACACACATGAACAACATGCTACAGTTCAGTCAGTGCACCGGGGTTACATGCAACACACAGCGCAGTCAGCTGGACCCTGTGTTAACACCTACCATGGTGCTATCTTTGTCCCTGTGTGGCCCCACGTTACTGTCCATTTCTAACAGATACAACCGAGCAAAGTTTCTGGCTGGTCCGGGGCTGACAAGTTTGTGCGACACACTTTGTAAAGTCAACCGTGATGAGAAGAACATTTCCTGTTACACATTTCAAAATACAACTTTTCTTGACCATGTTAGAAGCAAATTTTCAGAGTAATAGCAAAATTGCTTTGAAAGAAAGGTCACCTCTGCTAACATACTGTGTCTCTGTGTTACACAGCATCTTAAAATAGTCCACCACCGACATTAAGCAAAAAAATATAACTTCCGGTCAACTCACAATTTATCAAATGATGAGGTAAAAGAGGCCACACATATTTTAAAGTGATAAAGTGGCTCCACCCGGCTGCCGACCTGTTCATTTCCTGTGACACTCATCTGCATCTTTACAACAAACCTAGATAAATATGTAACATTGTTTGGCAGCACTATCAGCACTGATGCAGTAAGAAGATGTGGAAGAAACAATGCTGTGTTGTAAATAAAACTATGTCTACATATAGTCTACATATGGGCTACTCAAATACATGTTTGAGGTTGACCTACTTGTAGGCTATGTAACTGGAGCAATTCCCAATTTAACATACTTTATTCTTCTATTTCACTACATATATTTGACTCCTTTAGCCACAAATCTACAGATCATTAGACTGTTAATAATAATATATTAATATAATAATAATAATCTTTATTATGTAACTTTTTATGATCAAGAATCAACCACCAGAGGGCGACAAAGTTATGCTTCGGCCTCGGTGACAACGCGGAACCAATGTTTTGGTCAAAGAGAAGGGGATCAATAATAACGACGGAACAATATGGTGGCAAAACATTTAGCAAAACAAGGGAAAGGTAAAACGTGTATTAAACTGTAATTAACTAACTTTTAGGTGAATGCTCGCATTTCACAGGGAATATCCACCCGCTCGTTCCCGTGTTTATGACAATGTATTCAGTACAGAAACAGTCAACATCATCTGAAGACGGACATTAACCTTTGATAGCTGAATTACTGTTAGCATAACTGTTTATTAAGAGCCACTAGAAACACATTAGGACGCTGAATATTAATGATAATGTGGGGAGAGATAGAACCTTATGTTAAACCGCAACCGAGTCCGCATGAGAATGAAGATAAGAACAAAATACCAGAAGAACCAGTGAGATGCGAATGTTACCGCCCCGCAGCTGTCGAGCAGCCACATCAAGACACCCAGGTGAGATGAGCAGCAGCAGCATGTTAGCTCCATTTCATAACTGCAAATCAGCCCGCTGCACTTTTAGTTACTACAGCATTTATTCCTCTGCTTTGCCGATTGTGGTTCTGCTTATCGTGCAGTACGTGAGCCAGGCCGAGTCCAGTTGTGTAAATGCCATGATAGAAGCCATAGCAACGAGCGGAAGTCTAGTGAAAAGCCAGCAGATAGGAGAAGCTGAACTGACCCCAAACGAGCGCAGAGAGGAGCTCCTGCACCAGTACAGGAGCAGGCCACTGGTGTTCCTGGAGAGGTACCATGTAGGTGTTCATAACGTGTATGGTTTTATTTAAGTCAAGCAAAGATAGTATATTCACTGTCCTGTATTTTCATGGAGCTAAATAAATAAATTATGCCCTTACACTTAAGAGTACAACTGCCTTCTTCAGTCTAAGAAATTAACCATGGTTTTGTGATATTTACATGTGAATTTGTTACAATAAAGGGGTAATAAGATAAGCAAATGATATCTAGATGTTTGTGTTAAACACTACCTACTCTCCTGCCCCTGTAGGCCTGCCTCAAGCCCCAGCACCTGTCAGCGTTTGCCCACGTCAGCTCAGACCCACGGGCCCAACACTACAGCAAAGTGGTACAGAGACGAGCCACAGGATGTACCAACAGGACCAGGATCAGAAACCAGCGCTATGCTGCCCTCAGGGCCCTGCAGAAGGGTTCGGGCTCTGTTTATCAACAGCAGCAGCAACACAGCTTTCCATTTACCCTGATTATATTAATATGTAACATTTTTCCACTAGTGGCGTCATGTAGATAAATTTGGTTTTACTTGGCGAGGTTTCAGTTATCCACTGGTGAGAAATCTGCCACCACCCCAGCGATCTGTAATCTGTGTGCTGTGTACTGTACCTGATGCAGTGTATTATCTGTGTGTTCTTACCTGTGTTCTTCTGCTGTACTTCCTGTCCTAGAGGGCCAATATTTCAGTGAGGAAGAGATGCGGATGCGGGAGCCGCTGCTGTATGAACAATATATTGGCCAGTACCTGACTGATGAGGAGGTGAGTTTTATTTTATATTTTACAGTTCTGTTTTAGGCACGTTTTTCTTTACATGTTTCATCCATGGTTTAGGTGCTGGAGCGTTCCCAGGAAGCCATGTTGGACGGTTCGCAGGGGGGAGCGGGGGCACCAGCCGGAGCCACAGGAGGACTCGCTCACCTGCTCCTTAACTCCTACCAGGAGCGTCTCATCCAGACTCGTCTGCAGGAGGAGCAGGAGAGAGAGGAGTGCGCACAGGAGGAGGAGGAGGAGGAAGACAATGGTGAGAGGGGATTGCAAGTGGCACTGGAGTTATAAAAGACTGCTGCTGCTGCTTTCACCTGTGCACTTTTGGTCAGTATGTGACTCCCTCTGTGTTCATACTGTAGATAATGGAGTCCAGCAGAAGGACTGGGAGCCAACTGCAGAGGAGAAGACTCTGCTGAGGGAGGAGTTCATCAGTCAGATGCACCAGAGCTTCCTAGATGGCAAAGATAAAGATTTCAACTACAGGTCAGCCACTCCACTACTAAGTGGGAGTTCAGTGGGGGGAAAGGCTGGCTCTGCATTCAGCAGACATAACAAGGCATCCAAGGCAGCTTAAGCCCCTTTTCCATCATTGGTACCAGCTCAACACGACTCAGCTCCACTTGCTTTTGGTACCAGCTGCTTCGTTTCCCACTGCAGATAGTCTGCAGTTTGTAGCTGGTTGACAGCAACGCTGCATCACACTGCTGTGATGTCATCAGCAACCGACACAGTAATAGTGCAGGACATCGAAGGTATGCTGTTCTTGATTCTCAGTATGTGGCTGTTTGTCACAGCAAAGAGATTTCATTTCGGAAGCAAGACAAAAGGCAGCTGAAACAAACAGAAAGTTTGGGAAATACTTTGGAGTTCAGACGAGGTGACTGGTAGCTCAGAGGCGACGCAAGAGGGTCAAGTTACGTGATTTCTCTGACCAGTCAAGGACCTGCAGTGTTTACATGTCATCGTTTGGTATCGCATCTGCTCACTTGGAACCTCGACGGAGGTGATACCAAAAATAGTACCAGGTACCATCCCCAACATCTGACTGATGGAAACACAAATAAGTTGAGTTGAGTTGAGCTGGTACCAGGCGCCGGAAAAGGGGCTTTAAAGTGGCCTGTGATGGATGAATCATTTGTAGGTCACGTCCTCCTGTGTAACACTAGAAATAAAAATATCCACCCAATCCTGATCCAAGTGTGAACTCTAAGCGTTTGTGTCTGTTACAGCGAGGTGGATGAGAACCCAGACTATGACAACTTGGACATCGTCAGCAGAGACGCAGAAGATAAATACTTTGATGAAGATGATGAGGAAGAGGATGATGATGTGGAAAAGGATGAAGAAGAAAATATGACAGAATAGTAGCTGTAGAAGTACAGTAACAACTGACTAACACCCAGTCCTCTGGCTGAACTGTAAATGTACAACATATGTGTTCTATTTTTTAATGTTACACTTAAATGAAAAAAACAACTGGTAGTAAATATTGTTTGTGGGTCTTTTGCAATTTGAGAAATTCATTGGCTGCTCACAGCAGATGGATTCAGAGTGCAACTCTGCCACACCTCACCTGGCTTTCTCCCCCAGCCTGGAGACACAATGGGACATGTGCTGTCTTGTCATGGCACTGCCACACTCGAAGTACAAGAACCTGAGGCAACAGGCTTTACACGGCATGTTTATTGCTGTTTTTGCTGTGATTTAGTTTAAAAGGCACAAATAGACCAGTAGAGGTCACTGAGGGGTTTCTTTTCATCTTGCACAAATAAAATGCATTTGTTTCAACTTTGAGATATCAGCGCCAACTCAATCAGGACATTTCACTTAACAAAAGTAAAGTTTTGACTGATACACATGATAGTTTTGCTGCTTTTATCTTTAGCTTTTAGGTTAATGTAACAGCTTTTCAAGAGATTTCTGCCAAAAACCTAAAATGTTTTACTATGATGTCTAACAGACAAACTCAATAGAAAAATCACCTCACAAACCATCAGCAGCTACGGTCTCTGGTTGGTTCTTCATATCTGTCCTTGCCATGTTAGACAACATTGTAGCTCTTATTACCAAAACCAGATGATCAGTAAAGTCTCCTCATGAATGCATGACTCAGTTAACTATGCTTACATCGTCAAATTCCAACTTCTTTGGCGTTTGGTTTTCATTTGGGTTCTTTTGAACTTTACACACAAGCTGAGCACTGACAGTGGTACAATAAAGTTTGGGCACCGCTGTGCAGATGATGCATTTAATTTATTTTTAAAGTAAAAAATGATATGTTTAAAACTAATGGTGATCAGATCGCTCTGCCTTCCCCTGAGGGGTGGGCCAGACTGAGGAGGAAATGATGACAAAGTCCTCAACTGGTTTGACTGGATTTTACCAATGTTGCGTTTATTTTGCACGGTGAGTGTGAGGATACCAGGTCACACACCTGCAAGATGGCAAAGAAAAAGTTCCAGACTTGTTTCCACTGAGGTTCATGGTAAAAAAACAGTATTTATACAAGAGTACTACAAATAAAAACGACATAACTGACTCCATATCAGAGTCATCAACATCTAAAAATGCATTTTCATTACCAACAAATTAATTGCACATAGATATGGCTGAACGTGTGACAGAAGCAACGCTCCTAAAATGGCCTGAACAAATTTAGTGACACCCTTAGAAACTGATCAGTCGGCTGTAGTGATGTTTTAAACATACTATTGTGTTCAGTTCATATCACAGATGTCTTCAGTCTTGTAATCAGTCATTTGCATGGAGAAAACCGTGCTGTTTGGCATCACCGTGTGCACCACACCAAACATGAATCGGGGTGCAAACGAGTTCAGTAACAGTTTGAAGCAGAAAACGAATCAAGTAGAACTTCAAAAACAAGCTGAGCCCTGAGGTCCAACAGTGACCAGTCACTCCCACACCTTCTGAAAGAAAGGCCCCGTGGGAAAAGATCCAGGAGGAGCCCGCTTTGAAAAGAGAAACAAAAGAACCAAATGGAGTTTGATAAAATGCAACGAGCCTCTGGGAGAACATCCAGATGACACAGCATGAGAGCTGCTTGGCCAGAGCCACTCCGCCTCGGCCACAGCTCATAGTCCTCCAACAGGAGAATCAGCCGCAATATAATCTAAGACTGACAGAAAAGGTTTCTTTCTTGAGTGGAGGGATTCTAACACTTCCAGCCACACTGTGACAAAGTGGGTGAGGACACTCCACTTGTCCCTAATACAAGTCGTGTATATGTCTTTTTTGTTTAGTGATTTTGTTTTTGCATGGGTACTTTGCTTGTATTTGTTTAAAATAAATTATCGATTTGAGAAACCTGACGTATTTTTCAAGTCTGTCTCCTACATTCTTGGTCGCTGGGATCCAACCTACTACACACACCCTGTAGCCGCAACAGTAACCGTAGGCCTGGTGTCAGCTTTACAATGTGTCTCCAGGGAAACGATGACATTTTCTTCGTTCATGTATTTTCAGAGTGTAATATTCTTCTTGCAGTTTTAATACCTTCAACTGCATTTTTATTTTCTCTTTTTTCAGCTGGTCTAGGTCCATTGTATCCAGGTCAGTGGTAGCAGAGGACGGATTCTCTGGGTAACGAGTTCTGCCTGAGACTCCTGCTGTTAGAGGAAACCTGTGGAAAGAAAACTCTTTCATCACTGTGCATAGACATGAAATCACACTTCACTGCTCATCCAAATAATGTGCTTGTTAGACCTCACCTGGTCTGAGGTGTCGTCACTTGGGATTGTGCTGCATGATGGCCAGATGTGGTGGCATCTGTCTGCCCTGGATTCTCATATTTACACTCAACAAGCTCACTCGACGGTATAGTGGAAAGCTCTGAAAAGTTGGTAGAAAACTTGCAATGAAATTTTAATTGTGTTTTTGGTCTTTCCCAAACAAACAAAAAACAACAAAATATGCAATTACTTCTGGTTTTCTGAACAACTCACTTGTTTCCTCTGTCCTTTCAGTCTTGATATGTATGGGTTCTCTGACGGAGACACCTCCAGTGTTTACAGTTACAAAAGTCTCACTGCTGCCTTCATGCTGCTCCGTTCCACACTGCCCTGTTTGCAGCTCTGCATCTTTCTCCTCCCAGTCACCTTTCCAGGAGGTAGTCAGATAAATTATAAATATTAAAACAAATCATCTAAATCTTAAGCCATCCCACCACCAATGTAACTGGTAAATCTTACTTTGATGCTAACCTACTATGTCACTGCCAACATCCGTGTCTGTCCCTGAGAGTAACATCTGGGGGAAGGCGCTGGGCTTGGCAGTGTGGTTGCTCATTCTCCCAGAGTCTTCAGTTTTATGTACAGTATCAGGTTCGATGTCTGAGGACGAGGTAGCTGGTGCAGACGGAGACCTTGATGAATCTCTTTGGTCAGTTTCAGTTCCTCCCTGTCTGTCTTTTCTTTCATTTCTTTGAATGAACTCAGCTTTGTTTTCTTCTGTAACACCTCCAGTGGTGGGTGGGCCTGACATCTGTGAGGGATCCACGTGTGCGTCTGCTGTGATGGAGAGGTCACTCGGTGCCAGACCGCTGTGTTCGCTCTCCTCTTCACTCTGTGCTTCCTCATCCGACAGCTTACTCAAATTGTCTGTTCACAAAAAGCTGAGGTTACACAACAGAATCACTTGCATTGCAGCAAAGTAAAACCAATAATGTGCAATTCATTCTCTTGACTCTCAGTCAGACTGATTGTATCCCTTATACACTATAAACGTTAGTTTGCCCAGGTGGGACAATTATTACAGTAACGTACAAACCTACTAGATGCTCCATGTAGTTGGACTGATTAGTCTTGACCTGAAACAGAGCACAGAGTCAAAAGAGTAGGAGGACTATAACAGCTCGTCTGTGTAGCCGACTCTGTTTTATTTGCTCCTAAAAACCCGTGAGCCTCTCAGCGTCAGCTCATCAATGGAGCAGCTGACACTGGGAGGCTCACGTCTAGCAGCTTATAAAATACTCACATCCTGCACATCTTCATTTCATCCATTTATTGTAACTAACGCCGTAAAAACAGCGGATACAGATGACCCGCTGCGATTGTCAACATAATGACGGTCAATAGAAAGTAAGACTCCCTGTTCCGCTTGGCTCTAAATTAAACAAACAGTAACATCAAAGTCTTTTTTAAGTGTGCTACACAAATAATGGTTTGTATTTGTAGCAGGTAATGTTTATGTTGTGTGGAGAAAAATGTGGAAATTATATGAAATCATGTAGAAATCAAGTGTAATTGTAATCAAAAGATGCTTTTCATGTCTGATAGTGGGGAGAAGTGAGCTACATGTTAATCTTGACGTTAGCCTGGTTTATAAGCAGATAATCTCAGTCCCATCCTGGAAAAACATCATTTTAATCAGTTTCATGGCTCATACAGTTTCTTTTCAGTTAAGCAAAGATGGAACGATGCCGTCTCTCTGGCTTTGCCTGTGAAAGTTAAGCATGAATATATTATTGAAAGTTATTATTATTAATGTATTATTGAAAATATCTATGTAAACTTACTTGAAATTGTTTAAATAATACATTCCTGAAGTCGACCCACTTTGACACAGAGCCAGAGCGACATCATTTCCTGTCGCCATCCTTTCTTAACTGAAAAGAAACTGTATGATCTTGGAAACTGATTAAAATGAGATTTTTTTTTTCTTGACTAAACCGGATTATTTTCGATTCCGCATCATTAGAAGAGTCTAAGAGGATTCAGAAAACGTCTTCAGAATGTAGGTGAGTGTTAGGAAACGCTGGTGTGGGGTTAAAACATTCAGCAAATCACAATTCTGAAAGCTCACGGAAAGTTAGCTCTGGCACTCGAGTGCATGTAATACATGAGAGCCACAAGCTGGGGCTATGTTGACGTGAGTGTTCAGTGTTTCTGTCTGGCTGGTGTCTGAGTACGACAGAGGGAGTGCAAGAGGGAGCGTTCTGTACACAAGGACGCTATCTCTGCTTACACTTTGATAGTAGGATTAAAAGCAGGGAGTGCTCGTTTTACTTTGCTCTCTGCCTGCAGACCTTTAACTTCCTGAATGCACTGAGCCATTTTGTGAAAGCGTTATTAAATACCACTAAGGCAGTCAATAAGGCACAATTAAATGTGCCAAAGAATGGAAGAACTACTCCACGGTTTTTCTCCATCTTACCTCTGGAAGCCGTTCAAGGATAACTTGTAGTTCCATCATCAGGATATTTTTCTCAGGTGCCTCCAGTTCTGAAAGAAGAAGAGTGATACTCATAAATCCACAAACAGATGCTCAGTAGCTTAACATGCCAACATTCATTTTAATAATGGTGACGATTCCTGTGGGAAGCATCACCTTCAGAATCACTGTTGTTATCAGCAGACATGTCCTCGTCTTCCAGTTCTCCCTTTCCAGTTTTATCCTCTTCTTTATCCTTGTCGGTTTTTGAGTCTACACCTTCTCCTCCATTTTCAGCCCCTCCCCTTTCTTCCTCTCCCTCTAGTACCAGTTCATCACTGTTTGGAAGCCAGTTATCATCTTTGGCATCATCTTCCTCAGTCTCTTCTTCAGATTCTATTTCTGACCCTTTGACAGGGATATAAAATAACGCATACAGTTGAAGAAACTGTTATTTGCTGCTTAATACCAAATGAATAATATTAAGTTTGCTTAATGTTTTAATCCCATTTCTGGTTTGAGTTGCAGCTACAAAAGGTGCAGACAAACCTCGAGAGGAGCTCTCCGATTCCTGATCTGATAGCGAGATTATCTTCAGATGGAGGAGAGAAAAAAAATCTTATGACACAGAAAATTGCATAAATGTGTTTTAAAAGCTCAATATCACATTCTCACATTACCTTTTTAAACTGTCGTCTTCCCTTTTTAAACCCCTTAGTGGTTAATAACCCTTTCTGTGATGATGGCAAAAAGATAAGGAAGTTCTTTAGTTGGTTATTGTGAGTTTCTAAAATAAAGAAAACAAAAAAACCTTACCTCAAACCAGTACTGTAGGGGTTTATCTTGAAGAAAAATACTAGCTTTCCATTTTCTATTAGCATATTTGCCACCAAAATCCTCAAAGGCAGGAGGAGAGTACCAGCAGTCCTCACTCTTAATGCAAGGCTCACCTAAACTCAGCGTCCACACACAACCAGTTGGATACGACAGTGGAAAAGATGTTTACATCTTTGTGATTTATGAAGTAAACTAAACAAGTATTAGTGTTCACTTACCTCTGTCCAGCTTTTCCTTATCCATGACACCCGTTTTGTTTCCACAGGTTACAGGCAAGAGTCCTGCACAAAGTGACAGAAATGTTCCTGCAAGTGTTGCATAGACAATGTTCTGCAGAGGACTCAGTCTAACTTGTAACACAGCAGCATTACAAGGACATGTTATTTTAAAAGGACAGCTGAGCGTATTACATGGCTCTAAAGACTCACTATTATCTTGTATCCACTGACTCTGGCTAGATGAGCCCAGTTGCTGATCATCTTCTTCTTCTTTTTCTTCTTCCTCCTCCTCATCACTGTTGTCATTATTGTCATAGTCAATATATTTGACTCTCCTTCTTTTCCTTGGGCTTTTCCTCGTGTACTGGTCTTCTTCTTCTTCTACTTTAGATTTTTTATTAAAGGGTCTTAATTGAATCCTTATCCTCTTCATTTGGTCTTCTTTCCAAAAAAAAAAAAAGTTATTAAAAAGAATTATCAGACTAGCCTTTAGCTAACAAGCTTTCAATTCCTCTTTTTCAGACCCATTGTTATATGCTGCTAGTTCACGCTTATGTTTTTAAGAGACGTGTATCCGCCTCCAGTGTAAACACTGCTGCTACACATGTGAACCAATGTGCATAACAACAACAAACAATGCCATATGTGCCACAGTCCAATTGCACAACTTCCCCAAAAAGCCGCTCGGTTATAATATGTTCCTTTCAGTCTGGCTTTATCATAAGATTCCCAGAAAATGTCTTTCATATATATTTTCCTAATTATAGTTAAAAGGTTTTCTGTTGAAATTGTTTGTGAAACCTAATTTTAAAAATAAGAAAATCTTACATGGGGTTCAGAAAACAGCACTGGACATAGAAATGAGCAAATAAAAATAACGCTATACAATAACTACTACATCAGAATTAGACAACAACAACAAACTGAATGTAGTATTAGTCATTTCGTGTCCAGGGGCCTATTTCAAGAAGGCGGTTTTGTCGAAACTCAGAGTTTGTTAACCCCGAAATGAGGGCAACTCGGAGTTTTCGGTTTCAGAAACGGAGGTAACTTAAACCCGTGAAGCGGGGTAAGTTAAACCCGTTTCACAAAGAGAGGTAATCTAAACTCAGAGTCAGTTACTACGGCAACTTACTCTGTGAACCTAACCTGCTGGGGAGCAGGTTTTGTTCGGGAAACTCAGAGTTTCCTCCGGGTCTCCGCCCCTTTTTAAAGTGAAAGGTGTTTAATACCTCATTTAATCTTTCAGTACATTCATAGATTGCACACGTTTCCGTCACGCAGAGACCAAAATGGCGTGTCCATTCATAGAGGATCCTGTAGATGAGGATTCGCAGGGAATTGCATTTACGTCGGGAGAGGATATTGAGGCTGTTAGGTACTTTCTTAGTTAGATAGATATTGATTAGAGATCTGTTGTATTAGAAGATGTTAGTGTAGCCAGGATGTCTTCCTCAGGCTGTTAAATGCAAGGTTAGTTAAAGCAGAGAAAGGC